AACTAGTGCAATAAAATTCAGCATCAATATACAGTATTTGAAGCAACAATTAGCATCAGTATTCGCAAGTAACACAATTAAAAAATACTTTTTCTAGTTTAAGAACTTGCTGCTGCTAGCTGGTGGCATAATCAGGCAAGTGTACTTCCCCATCTATTGCTCTTACATAGTTTGGGAACTTGCATAATTCCCCAAAACAAATCTTATTTGACCCATTCTTCTCTGCTTCACCTCTTCAGCACCCTCTCTGATAACACCACCCACAGAACTTTGCAGCTGCCAAACACTAAGCAGCATGTCCTTGATGTCTGCATGAAAAAAAACTTTAATGCAAACAGTATAACAATTGTGCTGTTGCCAGGTATCTGCAACAGAAAAAAAACTACCATGTGTGATTATTTATTACAGTTACTACCCTCAAGACCTGTTGGAGAGGCAACAAAGAAGCAGAGAGTGAGACATGTTTTGGTTCTCTGTAGGAGCAGTTACATGCATCCCATGATAGGAACATGGAGATAAAGAGCATATCTGCCTGTTTTTTTTCATACACAAAATACTTTCTCGCCGAACAGATGGCCAAATGAGGAAAGTTTGGGCATTTGTCTGAATGTCTGAACAGGCTAAATTTGATCCACACCTAGGTTCAGACCAAACCATTGGCTCGTCTTTACTAAGGGATAAAGTATCAAGGCAACCTCAGCCCTGATGCTCATCTTTCACTAGGTCTTTTGCATTTAGCGGTCAAGGTTTGACCTAAGGATCAGTTATCTTTAATCACTTAGTCCAGACACTTTCACCCCTTTCCTGTCTAGGCCAATTTTCAGCTTTCAGTACTATCACACTTTGAATGACAATTGTGCAGTCATGCACCACTGTACCTATATGAATTTTTTAGCAATTTTTTGAGACAGATAAAACTTTATTTTGATGGTATTTATTCACCACTGGGATTTTTTATTTTTTGCTATATAAATGAAAAAGTCCAAACATTTTGAAAAAACAGTGTTTTGCAAATAAATAATCTTTCTTCATAAATCTTGCCCAAAATGTATTCAGCTATCTTTTTAGTAAAAAAAAAAAAATATATAACCCAAATTAGTTTATAACTATAATTGTTTTACATTTTTATTTTACTTTTTTATATTATTATTTATGTTTTTTTAACATACCGTCACCCTAGCAGTACAGTGCCACCATAGTGACACTGTACTACTTATGGGGGGTGATGAAGATTTTTTTTACACTGATTGTTTTTACACCCATAAAGGCTGTAAAAGAAATAATTTCTCCTTCTCTCTGGCTGCATTCCTGTAGCCATTGAGAAATACTGTGAGAGCTGTGATTGGTCACAGCATTTCACATGGTACAAGGCTGTTGTGAATAGCCTTGTACCATGTGACCTCTGTGATCATTCACAGATTTCACAAGTAGTAAGCACTGATGATCTTGTTTACTACTATTCATGTGATCACTGATTGGCAAATCAGGTCACATGAATCGGGACAGAGATCCCGTGCAGAGATCAGTGTTCCCAGGGAGCGTGCACAGGCAGTAAATGCGGGGGCCATTTATAAATAGCCATCCACTTTGGCACTGCTCCCTCCGGCCATTTATGTACATGGGCCGGACAGGAAGTGGTTAAAAATAAGGAAGGATCTTACAAGCAGTTGGTAGCTACCTATCCCAATCCTCTTATTCCACTTATTGTGCTTTTAGGCAAAGGCAGGCCACAATAAATGCAGCCTTTGTGAGATTCCTAATGACCCTGTAGAGAGATGCCTTTGTTCCTAATGACTGTTCACAAGCATCTCCCAGTAATTTCCAGTGGGTTCTTCATACCTTAGTGTTCCCAGTGTCTTCCAGCTTGTCTCCATTGACTGTATGTTCCTGCCTGCTTCTCCTTGCACCTTTTGTGTCTTCTAACCATTCCAGTGTCCTTGTGCTTCTGTTTTCCTTGCGTTCCAGTTTACCTTTCCTTAGCATCACCTGTATCTGAAATCTACTTCAGTGTCTCCCTGGGTATTTCTAGTCTGTTTTCTGCTGTGTCCCCGTACACTTCTGACTTTCCCTAGTGATTCCTGTTTGACTCTGTGCATTGATACTCACTCCTTAGTGATTTTGTGTGTCTCTGTACACTATTTCCATTCCTAGTGCCTTGTGCATTTCTGTGCATTCCCACCAACTTGGGCTGTACTGCCTATTGTACTGGTGCCTTAATGCTACAAGGGACGTCTTATCAGCATCAGTAATTGCTTACTCAGTTGATTCAAAAAACCAAACCCTGGGATTTGTCTACAGCACAACCCATCTCCACCTTTAAGAGTTCTGGAGAGACTCTCTGCTTCAACCCTTTGCTGTATGTGCAGACAGGCTGTGTTCTCCCTATCAGTACCAATAGGTATCCTACCTATCCTAGATTCCTTATGCATCCCAACTCTATCCTGTAAACCTGGAACCCTTGTGCACCTGTGTGTTCTTCATACATATCTTTATACCTGTGCTCCTATGAACTCAGCATCCCATGGCTGGCTGTAAGATACCCCTATACTCTTATGTGCCTGTAATTCCAGTGCCCAAGTGCTTTACTATACTCTTGCCATTCCTGTAAGTCCAATGGTCCATGCTTTCCTAGATTCTTGCCTCTGTGCTTAAACTATGGTCTGTATGGGTGCACTCTCCATCATCCAGCTGCAAAGAGGATACATCATGCCAATTATTTGTGATAGCTCCATCGATGCAATATATATATAGATAGAGAGAGAAAGAGAGAGAGAGAGCTAGGAGGGGGGGGGGGGGGTCCTTGGGGCAAACAAGTAGGGCCAAGGCACGCAAAGATGAAAATACAACTAGCATTCAGAAAATATACATTACGATGTGGCACAATTAGCATTGATTAGGAAGGTAGTGAAAAAGGGTCCAGCACATAGAGGAAACAAAAATGGTGGGAAGGGAAACAACACTAAAGAGTGACCTTTTATACAACTATTGGGCTCAGCTAAGAAAGCATAGAAATTTTGGAAAACACATACACACTTACCTTCTAACAGACCTGAGTGCATTATCTGTTAATTAGAGCAACTCACCATAGGTAGATTAGAACTGGCCCTTCTGTTCCCCGTTGGCAATAATGGGTCGAACCCAGTATTTTCTCCTCTTCCTAACAGGCTCTTCGTTCAGAATGACTGCAGGACATTCAGCCAAAACACAGAACAAATAAAACGAATTCATAACTACAGCAAAAACAGTGAAGCATGCCTTCTATTTATTGAGCTTACACGATGCTGGCTCAATGGCTGTTAACTCGATCTAATTCAATACATAATTCTCAAAAACACACTGGAACTGCGCATCAATGAGTGTCAAAATGAATGGCAACACACAAAGAAAACGCATGTTGATGCATGTCAACATGATAAAAAAGCATCTTAATGGTTAATGTAGCATGTCAATGCACAAAATGTACAGAATATCCATTGATATATTTCAAAGCACCTGTCTAATGTAACAAAATAACAAACCTTTATGCTCAAATATAGGTCTAAATAGACTCCAAAATGATTTCAATAAATGAAATGTAAAAAAATATTAATAGAATTTAGAAATGTTTAAATGCTTTCACTTTAAAAATCAGTGCTTTTGGTTATAAAATGTTTCAAATTATAATTCATGGCAGGTAAAATATTTAATATTTTTATTCCCGCAGTGTATTTAGCCGTCTGACTGCCTGGAGCTCAGATTCAACCACCTGTTGTACTTGAGGGAGGCTCATTAAACACTTGCTATTACAACAGTTTCTAAACTTTATTAGAATAAAAATATTATAGATTTGGATTTTGCACTGGACACTTTTTGCTAGTTTAGGCTAAAGCACAATAATACTGTTGTATATCTAATGTAGAAATAAATCTGACATACAGTATATTATTATAGAGAAAGTGAACTGTAGAAGCTGTACCCAAAACTGACAAGTGAAGGGCAAAGGACTTTTTACCACTATTGCCTGTGTTCTTTCTGCTGCTAATATTTTTTTCTCATAATTTACCATTCCTTGTTCTGCACTGCCCTCTATGTGGAGGTGGACATTTTGGTATGGACTAGGCTTTGCAAAAATCCTCATGTCAGAGATGCCCTTGATGGCTGGTTAACTGATGACTGGGGAAGCACAAATCCGCATATTCAATGAAGCAGAAGCAGGCAGATCCTTGAACTGCAGGTCCTCAGAGCTGAGCTTAAGATTTGGTCTGAACACAAGTTACCCATTCAGTGGGAGACAAACTTCATGTATTATAGTGGTATTACTACTGATATTATAGATGTCAGTTTCCCAATGTATGAAGTTGTTAAGGACACTGGTGGGTCCTTACCAACCACTGACATTACCAGCATACATTAACTTATATGGCCGGGAATCCCCTGCCATGCAAGCAAAGAGGCAGAAATAGTTTAAAAAAATGGCATGGGGGTTCCCTTTGCATTTCATTCAAAGCTCTTCGGGTCGGGTCTTGTATTAATTTTAAGGGGGATCCCACACAGAAAACAAACAAAACAAAAGGCATAATGTCCCTCAAAAACCCATCCAAAAATGATTGTAAGGGGGAACCCCGATGCGAAAATGAAAAAAAAGGGAGGTCCTCCCAAAAAACTACCGTATTTTTCGCTCCATAAGACGCACTTTTTTCCCCAAAAAAAATTGAGGAAAATGTCAGTGCGTCTTATGGAGCAGCCGGTCCGGTATTTCAGCGCCACCGTGTCAGATTACCGGGCCGGCCGCTCAGCTCTTCTATGCAGCAGGACCTTACCTGTTCCTCGGTCCAGCGCTGTACAGTCTTCCCGCGCCGGCATCTTTTGTGTGGGCACCTGGCTGTGAACCAATGGACTGCAGACATAGTACAGGAAATGACCAGAGACTGCGGACACAGTACAGGGAATGACCAGAGACTGTGGACACAGTACAGGGGATGACCAGAGACTGCGGACCTTTGGGGAGGGAGGGAGAGCAGGTACCTGAATTTGACAGTTGTCCTCTCTTTAGTGTGGGTACCCGGCCACGCGCATGCGTGAGAAACGCTGCGCTTTGTGAATGGCCCGGCATCTTCTGGGATCTGTCATGTGTCCCAAAAGATGCTGGACCATTCTTAAAGCGCAGTGCCCACACTAAAGGGAGGACAACTGTCAAATTCAGGTACCCACTCCCCCTCCCTCCCCAAAGGTCCGCAGTATCTTGGTCATCCCCTGTACTGTCTGCAGTCTCTTGGTCATTCCCTATACTGTCTGCAGTCTCTTGGTCATTCCCTATACTGTCTGCAGTCTCTTGGTCATTCCCTATACTGTCTGCAGTCTCTTGGTCATTCCCTGTACTGTGTCCGCAGTCTCTGGTCATCCCCTGTACTGTGTCCGCAGTCTCTGGTCATCCCCTGTACTGTGTCCGCAGTCTCTGGTCATCCCCTGTACTGTGTCCGCAGTCTCTGGTCATCCCCTGTACTGTGTCCGCAGTCTCTGGTCATCCCCCTGTACTGTGTCCGCAGTCTCTGGTCATCCCCTGTACTGTGTCCGCAGTCTCTGGTCATCCCCTGTACTGTGTCCGCAGTCTCTGGTCATCCCCTGTACTGTGTCCGCAGTCTCTGGTCATCCCCTGTACTGTGTCCGCAGTCTCTGGTCATCCCCTGTACTGTGTCCGCAGTCTCTGGTCATCCCCTGTACTGTGTCCGCAGTCTCTGGTCATCTCCTGTACTGTGTCCGCAGTCTCTGGTCATCTCCTGTACTGTGTCCGCAGTCTCTGGTCATCTCCTGTACTGTGTTCGCAGTCTCTGGTCATCTCCCGTACTGTGTTCGCAGTCTCTGGTCATCTCCCGTACTGTGTTCGTAGTCTCTAGTCATCTCCCGTACTGTGTCCGCAGTCTCTGGTCATCCCCTGTACTATGTCCGTAGCATCTGGTCATCTCCTGTACTGTGTCCGTAGCATCTGGTCATCTCCTGTACTGTGTCCGCAGTCTCTGGTCATGCCCTGTACTGTGTCCGCAGTCTCTGGTCATCCCCTGTACTGTGTCCGCAGTCTCTGGTCATCTCCTGTACTGTGTCCGCAGTCTCTGGTCATCTCCCGTACTGTGTCCGCAGTCTCTGGTCATCTCCTGTACTGTGTCCGCAGTCTCTGGTCATCTCCCGTACTGTGTCCGCAGTCTCTGGTCATCTCCCGTACTGTGTTCGCAGTCTCTGGTCATCTCCCGTACTGTGTTCGCAGTCTCTGGTCATCTCCCGTACTGTGTTCGCAGTCTCTGGTCATCTCCCGTACTGTGTTCGCAGTCTCTGGTCATCTCCCGTACTGTGTCCGCAGTCTCTGGTCATCCCCTGTACTATGTCCGTAGCATCTGGTCATCTCCTGTACTGTGGTCTGCAGTCTCTGGTCATCTCCTGTACTATGTCCGCAGTCTCTGGTCATTCCCTGTACTGTGTCTGCAGTCCATTGGTTCAGAATATTTTTTTCTTGTTTTTCTCCTCTAAAACCTAGGTGCGTCTTATGGTCAGGTGCGTCTTATGGAGCAAAAAATACGGTATATCAGATCCCTAGCTGAGCATGCAGCGTAGCAGGACAGGGAAGGTGGTATATGTACATGAGAGGTACCTTGCCGGGGCACCCACCTAGCAAACCACCTTGTCTTCATGCTAATGTGGACAAGGGCCTCTTTCCTACAACCTTGACCCAGTGGTTGTGGGGGCCTGTGGGTACATAGTACCCCTACTCATTCACAAATCAAAATGTAAAGTGATATTAAGAACAAACAGTTTTTGACACATAGTTAATAAAAAAAAACCCAATAAAAATGCTTATGCTGTACATCCTCCACCAATAACGTTATTCAGCAATGCAAATCTATGTAAATCACAATGCCCAACACTCACCGACACACTGAAAGGAGAAACCTGCTGAATGCCAACACATGTATGGCCCTGTTGTTTCATTCCCACTGAATTATAGTTCCGATGACAGCTCATATATACAAAATGTGTGGGGTCTCCCCAGGTGACATCATTGACCATATATGGATATAACTATATATGGTCAACCAATATATCGCTAATGACATCATGGGGTTCCTGAAGGGCCTGGTGTGAAGTAAGGGGGAACCTCCACGGCTTCTTTTTTGGAGGGTCCCCCCTTAGCATGTACATTTAGAATAAAAAGTCTTATATAGATGAATGTAATCCCCTAGCCACTTTGTTTACAAGCAGAATGAATTAGATGGGAACTGTCATTTTGCCAGAAATGTAAACACTTTTTTCTTTGTAACTGTCAGTTTTGCTATATCAGGTTGCATACATCGCATGGTCCACTTTGTAGGCAGGGTCAGGGTATTCTTCGGGTATGTTATTTAAAGGAATTTGCATTTTTAATATTTTACTGTAAATATTACTAAAATCACTGCTCCCTGCTAAACAGATTTTTTTTTTTTTTTTACTTTAGCACCTGTTCTCCAGGGCAGTTTACAGCCCCACAATCCCTTACCATTAGCCTGGAAAATGGCCCTGGCTACCATTGACATCAGTAAGGTTCGGATTTGTCAGCCAAACTCCCAACCAAACTCTATGAACCTGTCCCAAACTGAACCCAGGTACATTCAGCTTATCAATAGCAGTGAATCCAAATTTAATTCTAAATGTCATGAGACTATCAATCAGAGGCAACAGCGTCTTAGATCTCACACTGCAGATATGCAGCTACAGGGCTCAAAGCACAGGATCACCTAGACCCTGGAAGTGCCCTATTATTTTTCAGAGGGGATTCAAGAAAAAATACAAATCTCTTAGGGTACTAATATAAATATTGTGAACACTCCCAAAGTATAAATAGCTACAACAAAAGAAAGGATAAAATACTTTGACCCTTGAAAGTGATATAACAAACAAATTGCTCTTTTCATTTATCCCTATAATACCCTTTCTCAAATAAATTTATGTAAATAAAATCAAATATACAAACACAGACGTGTAATAACACTCAAATTGGATGAAAAAAATAAAATAAATAAAGCTATAGTGTCCAAAAATTGTCTTTCAACCAAGTCAGATCACTTTTTCTCCTCTTTCATAACTTCTTGTGATATTATATATGGAATTTCAAATGCGATGATCCAATGCAGAAAACCTCAAAAAAAAATAAACTGCAAATAGTGTATTACCTTAATTACATATAATTGTGCACTATGTGTCATGTACACTCCATAAAAGGTGTTCAAACCGTGAGAAAAAAAAATCTCTCTCTCTCTCTCTCCACCAACAAAATAACCCAAAATGCATGTAAAGTATATCTCATTAATTGTGACAGTGAACTCAACACACTGCAACCACTACTACTAAACCATAAAAACAAATGTGAATCCAAACAATTAGTGTAAAAGTGACCACTCTAACCTAGTGCAACAAATGAACAATTACCCTATAGAGGTAATAATCCGCTTTACAAAGTGGTGGATGGCTGCACCTCCAAATTTCTCAAACTTCCTTTAAACATATATCCACTTTCTTTAGGCATATCTCCACATCCCTCATAAGGTAAATAGGCAGTTAGAGGTTCTTAATATGTCTTCAGTCTGATTTTTTTTGTTGCACAGGGTCCTCTTCCTCCTTTGTTCTTTGGCTTTCAGCTCTCCAGACAGAACTTGTATGATCCCCAGGCCAAGAGACAATTTTTGGACACTACAACTTTATTTATTTTATTTTTTCATCCAATTTGAGTGTTTATTACACGTCTGTGTTTGTATATTTTGATTTTATTTACATACATTTATTTGAGAAAGGGTATTATAGGGATAAATGAAAAGAGCAATTTGTTTGTCTCTTAGGGTACTGCTTGGGCACAAATTGTTAATTACATTTTTAGATGTTTTACATAAGATAGCAAATCTTCAGATTTTTAGTTTAGGTCCAAATTCCACCTATGTGTCCCACTTTTTCACTTTAGTACCCTTTTCATTGACAGATTTTTGTTGCAGCAATTTTCCACAAACGTTATGCCCTGTTAGGGGGCCTTAATGAACTAAAATGAATACTGGCACAGTTAAACATTTGTTAAGAGAAATGCAGAGGCTTTCTTTGCAGCATTCATTTCTGAGTCACATATGCACATCTTTGTCTGTGATTGTATGCCTTCACACATACAGTATATAACATTTTATGGACCTTTAAGATCACAAGAAATTTACTTTTGCAAGTCTAACTGATCGATTTTCCCAGCTTTATGTGATACACCATCTCTATGAAGTGCACTTATAACCTGTGTAATCGAACAATAGAAAAATACTGTTTTATACGGTCTTGAAGCATATGTATCACAGGAACTTTTTTAGTAGGGTAGAGAGGGGGTTAAAAACACCATCAGGTTAAATGATGTCTGTATCCTGCTGGTGAGATTTCCTTTCAATTCCTGTCTTTGAGACAAACAGGAAGTCAAAGAAAATATCCACAAATTGAGGAGAATTCCTCTTTTAGGCTGTTGTAACCAAGAACATTTATCCCCACTTGAAAAATTTCCTCTCATGAGAGCTCTAAAAGTGTTGGATTGTCCCTTACTTTCTGTTTTGATATCAAAGATCACCAGCACTAACAGACGGGTGGCATACATTTTCATATAATCCAACACCTACATTGTCAAAAGTGGACAGAGTGCCCAGTGATGTCAGCCCACTTCCTGCCATTACAAGCCCCAATCACTAAATTCAAAATCTTCCCTATTTTCAGTTATTTTTCATGAAGGTGGATGAAGCTTTTTAATGCAGCCACAGCGTTTTATGTCAACAAAGCCTAATCTTATCTGAGAATTTCCCTAGTATATTTGTCCTTCAACGTCTGTTATTTCATTTCTGCCACAGTCTGTTTCCCATAATGTTTTTCCGTCTGTGTCCGTCAGGCCCTATCAGACCATGTAAGTGCTACTTGTGATGTATTTTAAGGAATAACACAGCTAGTTGCTAACTTTATGGGTATTAAAATTCACCTTGAAGCTCAGTCACCTTTAAATACACACTCAGCCTGCAGCTTTGTGCAGTTATATGGTCAACTGAACTCATCATAATATCCTTATCATTTATAGCAGGGATTGTATTGTTCTTTATGTTCTCAAAAGAGAACACGTAAGAATAAACAGAGGATGTGTGATTATAGGGTGATTGCTCGCCTGATTGTTTCACCTGGAAAGAATAGTTTTTACTATCATACCATTCAGTGCACAGCAATTACATATTTAACCTGTCACCGGTCTGCAAACTCATGTCTAGTTGTATAGGCCGATGTTCTATCTCCAGCACAATATGGGGAAAAATACCTTGCAAGATATGTGCTGTATAGTCTTGTAAAACTGTAAAAGCTCCCACAATCTACACATACATTATAATAATGAGCTTGGGCATGGTAATGCTCATTCCTATTTTTTTTTCTTTCTAATTTCTAAACTGGAGCACACACACACACAAAAGTGTCATTTCTGAGAATGTGAAAAATCTTAGCTATATATATATACTGCACGTGGAAATGCATTTTTTATATATTACAAAATATATGAAAAATATTTAAAAAAATATTTTTTAAATATATTCTTCAGATTATTTTTAACATAAAAAAAAGTAATTTTAACATATATTTTTACATATACTTGTAAATGCATTCCAAAAATTTAGATTTGTATTTTTAAAGACATACAGTACA